AATGTTGTTTGGGACACAAAACCTATTTTATTGATCTTTGTGTACTTCGTTAACTTTCACCCTAGTCGATTAAAATGTTTATTTTCCTCCTCTGTTGTCATTAATAGTTTTAAGCTCTTGCCTTTAGAGTATTGATGTCTAAGAGCATAAATGCATTTTGTGCATGAAGCCTCTCTGAATAGATCTGTGTGCATGCTGTAGGTCTGGTTAGGAAAATATTTAGGCTCACATGAAAAACTATGCTGAGGTTTCTGTTCTGCTCTGAAGAGGAAATAATATTTTGTGTTCACACTATATTAAAAATGCCCACCGTTTCACAAATGCTCATCTTCTCTCTCCAGATGCAATCAAAATATTTAAATCCATCCCTGGGCCGTCTGTGTCCACTTCTGCTCCCTGCACTGTTTGATATTGTTTGTTCTATTACACTAGTTATTTGTATTTAATTATAAAAATTATTAGAGTTATTACCATTTTATTCATGTTTATTTAAAGTATTTTTTATTTTTAAATAAATAATTAATGTTAAATATAAAACTGTATGCCAGTTTTCTTTAAGTGGATGAATATAATATATTAGTGGTCAAACTGTCTACAATTTAAGGGGCAACCGCTGAAATCTTTCCTAGGGCACCAAAATGGTTAGGGCCTGCTCTGGCCTCCACACATGCACACCAACAACACCTTTCATTCTAATATCTACTGAAAAACATAAATCATCAACCAGAATGAATAACTATGGGGCACCACCCTCCACCAGGGACCAAAAACATTCAGCGTTCAGTTTGGAGGAATGCAGATCAATTATTTTAAAGAAAACATCTCAACACAACTCTTCCAGCTCAAATGGTGCATGATCCTTAAAGTTTATAATTTTAGGTTAAAGGAGTCTGCTGGACTTCCTATAAACAGTAACAGTCGTGACAGAAACTTCAATATTTTGTATTGAATTTAAAATGACATCTCCTCTGACTTTCTAAAGTCTGCTCTTTGCCTTGAAGTATAAATGTGGAAGTAAGTTACCTGGCACAGAGAGAAGGAAGACGACAAATCCACTCGCTGCTGCTGTTAAACTCATAGCTGCTCCTCTCATCACATCCATGAGACACACTGGTGTGAGGTCGTCACATTAAACTTTCTTCTTCTTAAAATGAGGATGTGGTCTTTTAAGACACTTAAAAAAATGTTATAGTTAACTTGTGTTAAACAGAAAAAAGACCACACTCGCCCTTCCTCTTTTTATGCATAAGTCAGAATAAGAGCAAGCCCTGACAGCTAAAAATATTTTCAGGACCTGGTATTTCAATGATATGTACGTATAATGATTTTAAAATGTGTGCTGTTTACAAATGTTTCATCAAGTAGACTGTGCTGTGTTTTATAAGTAAAAATAGAACAGGTGTGTGATGTCTGATTTGGGGACAATACCTCTGTTGCTGCATTCAGGTGCTGCTCGGTGATCCAAGTTTATGAGTTGGGAAGTCGTTCTTCCGACTTCAGTGTGTTCGTGTGATTTCAGTTCAGAAAGTCTGAATGTTGTGACAACAGCACAAAACAGCGTTGATGCTACAAAGAAGAAGATCAGAGAAATGCTAGTTAGTTTAGTTTAGTTTAGAACAGGGACAGCGTAAAAAAAACAACAACATTAGTCTCAGAAGAGAAGAGATGCTTTGTATCAGATTTAGCTAGCTTATTTCCATCTGTTGTCCCTGGGCATTTACTGTTATGAGTTATATTTGAGCTGGTATATATGATATATTTTGCCCCCATGTCATAGAGATTCTGACGTCAAGTCGGGAAGTCGGGCACCTAATTCTTTTCTGAGTTTTCGAGTTGTTGTTGCGACTTGAGCAGGCGTTCATGTGCATTTTACAACTCGAAAACTTGTTTTTCCGATGTGTCCGACACCACATGAATGCACCATGTGACCCTACATGACAGGTATTTTGACGTGCACAAAGTCGTCTTATCTTGAGGGTAGATTCCTGGTTATCAATGTGATTGTTTTGAAACATTGGACAGTTATGGGCCTGTGTAATCCTTGTCAGTAATAGAGTGATATATCAGTTTTAAAGTTACATTAATCAACTTACTCCTTATTGTGAAACAGAGCTTTTTAACCCACAACCAGACATTCAGCCTGCATGGAAACCTGTTGGGACGAACTGGGAAGGAAACAAGTTGAAAAGATTGGACCTGATGTGAAGGCTACAGCTGAGGGAAGAACCGGACTTAAGGGTCTTCAATGTTCATCAGTTAAAAGAGATCACAAAAGGAAACTAAAATAATGAGTTTTTGTGCCTTTAATTGGAGAGATAGGACAGTGGAAAGAGTTGGAAATCAGGAAGAGAGAGAGTGGGATATGACATGCGGGAATGGAGCCACAGGTGGGATTTGAACCTGGGCCGCCCGTTTGGAGGACCATAGCCTCCATACATGGGGCATGCGCACCAACCACTGCGCCACCAGCATTAGTTTGTTTTAGTGAGACATACATCATACTAAGAAATTAAGGAGTTTTGTAAAGTGGGAAACATATGTTTACAATGCCAAACCTAAAATCAGAATAAAACACATAATGAAGTACAATAAGGCTTTGAGTCTTGTACTTATCTCTCCTGAATGAAATCCAGCAGTCTTATTTTCAGCTCTCTTGTTGTCTGTAGGTTAGTTTTATTTCTTGTTAGGTAGATTAGAGGGAGGTGCAGAGAGCGACGACCCGTTTTATTAAAGTCTTCTTCCAACTTGGCCTCTTGTTTTAGATACTTTCTGATGAGAAGGAGTCTACATGAGTGGAAACACAGTTTAAAGGAAACGCTTACTTAAAGATGAGATAAGAACTTAAAAATCTGCCCACTCAGCATGAAGATATCTCTCACAGGAAGAAGAAGGGTTTACCTCAGATGTTTGATGATAAAAGTGAAGGGTCTTTGTACTTCACAGTGAGACGAGTTTCCCTCCGATTAAAGTTCAAAAGTGCAGACGTATGTATCAGATGAAGGTCATGATTAACATCTTCCTATCAGGGTTTTAAGAAAGACATAACATAAATAAATAGTCACATTTCTCAGAAGATTTCACTCACAAGTCTCTGATCCATCTTTCATTATTTTATTTTATTGTATTTAACCAGGAGGAGCATCCTGGCCAATCAGGCAGCAGCAGAGTCAACAAAGTTTCAGACAAACAAAGAGCAGCCGTATACAAAAATAACACAAAAAGCTACAAGAATACATTCAAAGACTTTTATTCATCAGTCTAAGAGCGTCTCTGTCGATGGTATTCAGAGGAGCTGTTTGTCAACAGGTAAGGCAGGCAGCTGATTGGGCCCCCAGGCCAGTAGGGGGCCTCCAAGGGCTGACAAACTTTAAACCACAGCAGTGGCTCAAAATGTACAAATTTTGCAACGACAGTAGGATACCTCCCTAAAGGGGGCCCCATCTGACAGCACTCCCTCTCCTTTGCAAACCAACATTTGTCAGAACAGGAAAAATGTGAGTTAAAAAAAGACAGGAAGCGTCGGGACATGATGATTGAAACGGGTTGGAGGGGCCCCCAATTAACTTTTTCCTAGGGCCCAACAGACTCTAGATTTGCCACTGATGGTATTCTATAGAAAACAGAGGTCAATGTTTTTCCACGTTCCTGCTCTGACCTTCAACAGAACAAAAAGACGTTGTTTCTCTGAAACCAGAGGTCTGGTCTGCTTCTCTGTAGCCCTGTTCAGACTGCCGTTTCAAGCTGCGATATTTACGTCCCTGTGACGTTTTGTCTTCAACCTGAATGAGGCAGAGACATAATGGGGGGACCAAGTGAACCCCCTCTGAGCATGTGCTACATCATCATACAGGCGTACAGTCGATCATATTGTGTAATGTAAACAAGCAGACGCAAGACCCCGAGCAGATGTGACCACCCGAGCAGATCTGGTACCTAGCATTAGCATGCTAATGGCGCACATCCCTACATACCACCCAGTCTAAGTCATGAAATACTTCCCATGTGTGGTAGATTTGACAGATTGGAGGTAAAAAAAACGAGGCTGCTTTATGTTACATTTATCAGGCCGTTAAAATCATTACAAAGGTATAATCTTTAAGTAGCAGTTCATAAGACATGTGTTGTAAAATCAGAAGCAACCTGCATACATTCAAATATATGAAATCTAAAACAGAGTGTGAACACAGTGCCTGTCGAGGTCATCGGCTTTTGTTGACGGTGCTGTACAGAGCAGCTGGATCCTCTTCAGGTTCTTTACTTCTGGTTCTGAAGGGGAAAATTGATCAACATGAAGTTTAACTAAAAGAATTGAGTTACCAACACATCCATTACAGGATTAAAGTACAAACACATCAGAGGAAGATAAGAGCGAAAACAGCTTTTATCTTATAGTGAGAGTTTAATGTTTTCTCAGCTGCTCACCTCATGGCGGTGCTGTTCCTGGTAAATTTGACGGCAGCGTACTCAGTGACGTCCTGCTGCTCCGTTCTCCTGGGAGGCCGAGCTGGTCTGGTATTGCTGTACAGAGGCTCCTGGGTTTTAGAGAAGTGTATGCTGGCATACTGAAGGTCTTCCTGCTCCTCTGGTTGTCCCTGATTAGGTGAACAAAATCACTTTGAGCTGCATATTTACCATGTGGAGGTTTTTCATTTAAAAAGTGAATTCTAGCAGAGGACCGCAACCAAGATAGGAAAGGCCACAGCAACAGCAGTTATGGTGATGATGTTATTAAAATACTTTGAGTGTTGGCACACAGTGTAGAAGGGGGGGATTTAACCATTTTTATTTTATGAACGCTAACAGTTAAACATAATTAGGGGCGTGGCTGAGTTGACTCCCAGGTGGGCGTGTTGTAGCCGTTTGTCAGGAGGCATAAGACCCGCCTCAGCTCCAGATTTTTGCTTGTTACTAGGTTCACTCAAAGACAGCATTTCCAATATGGCAACCACCATCAGTGAGCTTCAACATTTCACTTCAGAAACCAATGGGTGACATCACTGAGACGACGTCCATGTTTTAGTACAGGAAGAAAATTCAAAGACAGCCTCAGGAATTTGTTTCTATCGGACAAATATGAAATGTTCTTTCTCGTCAGCAAGTATAAATAATAAATTTACTCAAAGACAGCAAGATAAAAGACATGTCACCAATCAGTAACTTTGGACATGTACAACATTTTAAATCTAAATAACTACATAATATTTACTTTGCCCTTTTAAATAATTCATGTATGGTATGCATTGTATTTATTTTTAACAAATTCCCCTTCCAGGCAGTGGGTGGGCTGTGTTAGCGCTCTCTAATGACCAGCAGCTACTGTTCATGATGTCTGCAGAAACTAACGCAATGATTGTGTACTTGTAGGATGATCAGCTCTGAGCAGTCGGCTGAGTGAAATATTTGCTTGGTCAGATTATTGGACGGACCATATCGAGCACATTTACTCTTCTGGATGAACGACCTCTGAGTAACACAGCAGTCTGAATGAATCAGCGTTTATTTAGTACTAAGATATTAATCAGAACTATTCTCACCTGCTCCGTGTGTTCTTGTCTCTCTTCAGCCTCAGACGGTTCATTGGAAGCCCTCTTTTGTCTTGTGAGAAGAATTTAAAAGTATGATGAATTATGTTTTTTAGATATGACTGACTTTTAATGATTCAGTGAAACGAAGCAGCTCACCTGATCCACACGAGGACAGAGAGGAACACGATAACCAGGAGAACAACCGTGATTGTTCCAGCAACAGCCACTGATTTCCCTCCCCCTGGGAAATGGTGACCAAAACAAAGCGTTCAGATATATTTATCATCAGTCTGTCCTAAGCAGAAACCTCCACTGTTGAAAAATGAAGCAGATGTTGAAGGGTAAAATCCTGAAGTTCTTCGAGTGTCCACTAGAGGCTGGCTGCAGAAGCACAGGAAGTCACATACACACCCATTCAAAGAAGACATTTTTACAGCAGAGATGAACATGTTTACAGCCTGGTTCAAAAAAACAAATATGTCTTTTTAGCTCATGTCTCAATCAGCACACACTGTACTGGGGGTGAAGGCATAGCTGATCTGATTGACAAGCAGGTGCCATATAAGGGTTTCTCAAGAGGTTTAAAACCTCAGCTCCAGCTCTCAGCCTGTTATGTTGACTGAAAGTTAGGGTGAGACAGCATTTCCAGCATGGAGACCGCCATCGATAGGACTCCAGCGCCCCCACAGGAACTGATTTATTACAGTTTTAGTCGTACTAACACAATTTATCGACTATCTCTAACAGCATGTGAACATACTGAATGTGTCCTGAACCTATCCAAGTAGTTTTGATGGGTTGATCAAACCAAGTGCGTGATTAACAGGTTGAAACGGTCAGTTTAGGTAGGTTGAGTCTGAATGATGACAAATGTGACGTTAAGTCGGCAAGTTGGGTTTCTGAATTGTTGTTCCGACTTGAGCAGACGTTCATCTGTATTTTCCAATTGGAAGCTAATTCTTCCGATGTGTCCGACACCACATAAATGCAGAGTAGGAATGTGGAAAGTTCAGCGAAACATTTGAGTGGCTAAAAAATGGAAAAAGTGGGGATGTTGGGTTTTTAGGTAGGTAGATACACTTTTTAAATAATAGGTGTTTTACTCACATTTGACATTTATAGAGATGTGTTTGGATGTCCTTCTCCCCAGCGTGTTCTCAGCTTCACAGTAATACTCTCCAGAGGCCGAGGAGTTGACTGAACTGAGAACGAGCTGTGCTCCTGCATTTGAGGGATTAAGGTTTAGAGGTCCATTCTCCTTGTACCAGGTATAATTAGCTGCTGGGTTAGCATCACTGCTGCAGTTCAGAGTCACTGAACTGCCCTCCACTATCTCAGCAGAGGGACTCACTGACACAGAGGGAAACTGTGGAGCATCTGGAGGAGGATAAAAGTCTCTTTAAAAAACAGTATGAACATTCAGGCCAAGTTCTAGACTACTTTGAATGGTATAGTTTTACATTTTCATATAAAACTATACGGTAATTTGCTCATTACAAATGCCCAATAATATTTCATTATTAACTTATCTTTCATGGAATCGTACAATTTGTTTTGCTCAATGTCGAATGACATGTTTATGATTTTATATTCCCTGACACCTTTACTTGTCACCACACCTATCTTATATTACAGTCTTCACAATATATTTTTAATAGGTTTTTTTAATTCATTTTTTGTGTTTTTGTGTTTTTATCTGTCGGTTTTTGTGTTTTGTGCCTTTTTTTTAAATATATTTCTGTGACTCAAAATATGTTCTTTACATGATCAGGCTTATGTTTCTTTGTGCAACAATGCTAATCAATCCATCCATATCCAGTCCAGTTGTGATAGCCTTTTCATGAGCCAGAATCACCAAGTTTCTCTTTCTCTCATGTAACATTGTGCGCCGGAAGGGAAATAGGACATGGGAAAAAGTGGAGCTGACGCTAACATTAACGCTAACCTTAGCTATTGCTGAGTAGCTCATTAGCTAATAATACATTTAATTTGTAACACACTTTACATTTTTGCAAAAAAATCTCAAAGTGCTAAAAAAATTAAAATAGAAATAAAAACAAATTTCATCAACTAAGCAACTAACGCTAACGCTAGCTACTGACGCTAACACCAACACATCCAGCTAGACCACGTGGTTATAGTAGCTATCAAACAACCAAACTGAACGCAACTATGATATAAAATATCAATCAACAGTAGCCTATATAAAATTCCAATCTCCCAGACCGACTGGGTCTTCAGCTCAACAAGATATGATTACACGGCTACAAGGAGGCTGTGTACAGTTAAGTGACAGTCTCAATCGATCCGGAAATTGACAACCTCTCTCGCTGGTCTCCATATTTTATTTGGCCAAACCAACCAATCAAGTATTAGTAAAACATATTATTTGGGAGTGGCATTTTCTGATTTGTTGAATCGACAAGGAAAAAAAATAAAAATTTTATATCTGAAACTTGTGGTGAAAGGAGGATATTTGGCTTTTTTTTAGTGGGGCAGGCTAACCATTTGGGGGGGGGGGCATTGCCATGTCTAGAACCGGCCTCGTGAACATTTCAATCTTTCAGAGTTTATTTCAGTGGTCTAAAACTTAAAATACTAGAAATATAGCATTTTTAAGTTTATTATTCCAGCTGTGAAGCATTAGTCCTCATGTCCTGTTAGAATCAGTATCTTTTATTTGACATTCTCTCAGTCTAAAGCTGTAGAGATGTGAACTTCTATGAGTTAAAATCCTTTTGAAACAACATATCTTTGAAAGTGATAAATACTGATGATCCTCCTGCTACAGCCCTGGGGTCTCATTTATAAAAGAATGCGTAGAATCCATACTAAAAATGTACGTGCGCCAAAAACCCGGAAATGGCGTGCGCACGAAATGATTCAGATTCATAAAACCGTTCGTACGCACACTTACACGCAATGTTCCCTTTATAAATCACGATCCACCTGGAAATGTGCGCACATAGATTAGTCCCATGTTCCGCCCTCTACACGCCCACAATCAACCATAAACGGTGAATGAAAATGCATACAAACGAGGGGGCGGAGTAAAGGTTTCCAGCGCTGGATCGCGGCGAAACCCGGAAGTTTAGACAAAGAAAAGAAACTTTCTGACCCAGAAACGGAGGAGTTTGTGAATGAAGTGAAGGATAAAATGGACATATGGATAGTTTACTGCAGCAGGAGGATCACAAACTGAAGAAAAATCAGAGAGTGACACCACGTCGCTGCTGCATTCACGTTGTCCTATGTGCCAAAACATCCACCTTTCATCATTACGCACAAGTATATCTGCAATGTTTACATGTTTACAGGACCCACACTGATTTCTTCATATTGTCAGAGAGGTCACGTCAGTCAGCAGTCTGCCTCACTCTGTCACATTAGTAATCAAAAGTTTGATCAACGAACAAAAACGTTTGATTGTTGGCCACATATTTTCATGGGAAACTCGGTCTGCTCTGTGACTAATTATGAGGATATATAGACCTAATGATCGTGTCAGAGATGACCCGACTTAATGTCCACACTTGAATTATTTACAGAATAAATACATGCAGCTGATGAAGACATGCTGAGTAACGAGAAGGCGAAATGTGTGAAGCCACCGCTGTGTCTCTGTGCGTCTTAACGCAGTCATCTTTATTAAAACTAAAAACAACACTTGAAGATAAATGCTCGATATTGAAAGATATTAATGAAAACTGGAGGCTCTGTGGTTTTTGTATTAGTCTAATTTTTAACTCTACATCAGTGATTACATTAGTGTACAAGTCCGGTCCTCTGAGGTCAGTCCGGGATAATGAAGGCGAGACGGCGCTGATGCAATATGTATGAGGCGGACTTATATTTTTTTTTTATTTTATGTTTATATATTGTCGCGATTATAGCATAAATAAAATCGTCAGTTTGAATGATTCTGATGACGTGGATCTGTCAGTAAAGTTTGATATTTAGTGAAATAAAATGTGGAAGAAACAACAATTTGTATCTGCAGGTTTCAGTTTACCACTTCGCCGTCTGTGTCACCAAATTCCCATGCCTCCAAAATGAACATACGCCTGGGTCAGAGTTTGCTTACCAGTGCGCACATTTTACCGTCAGGTTTGTTTTTATAGATCACAAACTGCGTGGGAAAAGGCGTACGCCAGTTTCAGACCCCGTTTTGGGCGTACGCAACGGTTAGAAATGAGACCCCTGATCTCTAACCATCCACGGTCTCAGCAGAGAGACTCACTGACACAGAGGGAAGCTTTCATGCTTCAAAAAGAGACGTAGTTTAATAACATTAGCATTTAGTGAAAAGGTTTCTGAAGATTTGAAAGTCATTAACAGACAGGATAATCAAGGTGTGAGCAAACCCTTAAAACCCAGCCCTTAAAACTCTGGACAGGAAACCACAACAGTATCATCATTGTGATATTCTTGATGAATATAAAATTCTTAGCTTTGACAATTTAGTTTTTTATACCGATGTCCGCTTAGTGTATGAAATAATCCATGATGCTGCTCCCCCACCTTTGAAAAGCTTTGTGAAACTTCGCTCTGAGTTGATACGCAGATCTTCAAGGTCTGCCTCTAACGGAGATCGCAGTATTACTAAACGTGGCTCTGCTTTAGCACAATCTGTTTTTTCTTTTAAAGCCATTAAAGAATGGAATAGTCTCCCAACTACTCTTGAACTTTGCACAAACTTCTGCACTTTCAACCGGAAAGTCAAAAAATTTATTTTAAGGAACCAGTCTTGTCAGCATTAATGTGTCATCTCGACAACCTTTTAGAGCTCTCAGGGAAACTTGTACATAATGTTTTAATATCTGTAAATTGATCTATGTCTTTCTTCTCTCTTATGAAATGTGTGTGTGTGTGTGTGTGTGTGTGTGTGTGACTGACTGGTTGATTTGTATTTTGCTGTTGCCATCATCTGCCCAGGGACAACAGACAGAAATTAGCTAGCTAGCTAAATCTGGTACAAAGCGTCTCTTCTCTTCTGAGACTAATGTTTTTTTTGTACGCTGTCCCTGATTCAAATAAACGATTAAATTAAATTAAAATGAAACTATGAAACTACAGAGAAATCAGGTCAGTAAGGAAAGTCTCCAAATGTTGAATGTTGCTGTTTGAAGTGTTTCACTCACATTTCACATCAATAGAGATCCATTTATAGGTCGGCTTTCCCAGATCGTTCTCAGCTTTACATGAAAACTCTCCAGAGTCAGAGGACTTGATGGAGCTGAAGACCAGCTGAGCTCCTTCACCAGGTATTGAGGTCTGATTTCTCTTGTACCATTTAAAAGTAGCTGCTGGGTTAGCATCACTGCTACAGGTCAGAGTCACTGAACTGCCCTCCACTATCTCAGCAGAGGGACTCACTGACACAGAGGGAAGCTTTGGAGCATCTGGAGGAGAAAATCTGTTTTAATTTCTCCTCAACATTAAAATGTTTGAATTGTCAAGATGAAAAAACAGTGCTCAGTGGGCTTTAGCTGCAGACTGTGAGTGTGAAGTAGAGCTAGAGGAAGCAGATATGATCAGCAAATTAAACCTTCAAATGAGAAATCAGCTCAATGTTGCTTTTCAAAGAAAATGTTTTTCACTCACATTTCACTTCAACTTTGACGTATCCAGATGTCCTCTCTCCCAGATCATTCTTAGCTTTACAGTAATACCTTCCAGAGTCAGAGGACTGAACTGAGCTGAAGACGAGCTCTGATTCTTTACTGAGTTCATGACCGTTCATGTTGTACCAGGTGTATTCAGGTGCTGGGTTAGCATCACTGCTACAGGTCAGAGTCACTGAACTGCCCTCCACTATCTCAGCAGAGGGACTCACTGACACAGAGGGAAGCTTTGGAGCATCTGGAGGAGAATCAGAGAGACCTTTGTCATCCACATCAGATGATGATGATGAACATATTACATTCTAACTTAACTTTTGGTTTTGACATTGAGGCTCATGACAGCTGAATAAAGGTTTTTTTTTTTTACATTGAAACAGATAAACAGGACATTCTATGAAAAATCTAAATAAATAACAAATACCACTGAGGTACATGCTGCTATGAGGCACCATTTAATAGTTTAAAGATTCCATCTGATGGTGTGAATCAGTGAAGACTGTAAATAAACTCACACACTGGAGGAGACGGGCACTTCTCATGTCCTGATAGAGCACAGGAGTAACTGTCTGTCTGAAGAAGCTGCTCTGGTGGATAATAATAATATAATGTTTGATGTTCGATTTGATGTCCGTTCCTGAACCAGATGTAGGAGGTTTGACTGGAAAGTCCACTGAGACACTGAAAGAGCAGAGCCTTATATGGTCTGCTCACCTTCACCTGGAGATCTGAACATGTGAAGAAACGTCAACTGTTTTCACAAAACATGCACATATTAAAACATGTATTTATAATGTATTAGAAACAGTGAGCTCAGAAATATTGAGGTGAAAGATTACCTGTGACTGACAGAGTGACCCCAGGTCGACCAGAATAACTGTCTTTGTTTGTTATGAATCCAAACCTGTACACAGTCGAGTCTGTCTCTCTCAGGTTTGTGATTCTCAGAGTGCATTTGTTCTCATCACAGATATTCTTCACACGACCTGAATACTCTGAGTCTGTTTCTACATCTTTGTAATAAAAACCATCTTTTCTCAACCAGAATGTTTTCTGAAGTGAGTTAACTTGTCTATTTATCCTCTCTGGGTATGTGAAGGTGCAGTTCATCTCCACAGTTGATCCTTTATAAGCACAGATCTGAAGAGAAGAGTAAGTCACTCTCCAGCTGTCCTGACCCTGAACCACTGTAACACAGAGCACATCAGGAAACAACCATCAACATCCATAACTTTAAAAAGAAAAAGGAAAAGTCTCAACATATAAAAAAAAACGTTTGTATCCAAACAGGAAGTAAAGCACCCTTAACATAAAACAGTATAATATCTACAATAAAAGCATAACATATTTAAAATGTAAAATAATGGAACTTCAAACATGTGATTAAAGATATGATTAATCATAAATGTGTAATTGTTTGAAAGCCCTAGTGCAGGGGTCTCCAACAGGTAGCTCGGAGCAGGCAGGTTTAAAGTAGCTCACCTATAGGTTGACCGACTGTGTTAAAAAAATAAAAATAAAAATAAATCAGTGAATGTACCTCTTCCCACTATTCATATATTTGGCCCATTAAAACAAGTGTAAAGAAGTAATGTTTTCTTGGACATTGATGTGAATTCTCAGCAACATAGCTTACAATAAGAAGTGTAAAATATTCATGTTTTTTTCTTGGACCTTGATGTGAATTTAAGATTCTTGATGAGCATTGGCTTTTTGCAATTTCACACGTGTACAAACAGTAGCTTCATTCAGCTGATGTAAATGAATGCAAGAGATTTGATTGGCCACTTTCATTTTTTCAAAGAAGCTCTCAGATGAAGAAAGGTTGGAGACCCCTGCTCTAGTGTAAAAATAGACTGTATGTTAAAATTGACGGTGCAACGGCTGCAGTCAAAGCCGAAAGATTTAGAGCGCCCCCTGCTGACTGGCTGCAGTATAGGTCAAACTCCAACCTCCTCCATGATAACAGAAAGGCCATGGGGGTCAACAATGAAATCTAAATGCATGCATCTGTTCTTCTGTTGACTGAACACACCTGAGGGATTTTTATGTTTCTCTGTACGTTAAATGTTTTCGTTAGAGGAAGTAGCGTGACGTCTTCCAGTGGATCCCTACTACGCAGACTCTGGTTGCAAATATGCAATATGTAAGCGCCCATCATGAGGATTTTGGCTTCATCTTGTTCAACAGAAGGAGCCTGAGGGATGTTGTCCATTTGTATATACAGTTAAAGGAAGAGTAGAAGATGTTCACTTGTTTCTACAGTTAATCTGCAAGTCGTTGAGACCAGACATCATCCAGTCTGAAGGTGTAGAGAACGTTAAATGTGTTATTTAGACCTGTGAACTTTACGGTTGTAAGAGGAAGTATTGATTATCAGAGAGAAGAACGTCACTTTAGAGATGTTATATTTAGAGGGTAATCCCTCTCCTTCACCATTGTAGGATGAAAAGACAGTTTTATGTATTTTTGATGTGGCTGGGTCAATAATGCTCGTTTAGGAAGTGAAGGGCAAGAAATTCTTCATCATCCAAACATCGGTGAGTGCTAACAAGCTAACATAAGTTAAGGTTAGCTGACGATAGTATCTGGGTCTCTGTCAGTCAGTGTTCTGGGGCAGTAATGTTCGTTAAAGGCAGGAATATTTAGATCAAGTTAACACAATCTTTAATGTCATGATGAGGAGAAGTCTGTTCTTTTGTTCCCTCACAGGGACAGCAGAGCGTCTAACAGCATTAATCCACAATCTCCTCCTCTCTGGGTTTTCTTTCAAACATTCTGTAGAAGAACAACCCGGGCTCGTCTCCTCGTCGGTTAGTGCATCACATTCAACAACAACTGTCTCTCATTTGAAACATGGAAAAATTAAACTGATAAAAAAACACTGAGACCAATAACTTCTCAGTAGCGTTCAGCTACAGAGTCTTTATCGCCCGCCAGGTGGGCGGTTCCATAAGCGTGTGATGTCATGTGAAAACTATGAATTGATTATTAAAGACTTTTTGCCATACTTGGATGGTCTGTGGTAAGTTTGCTGTTGAAGTAAGTGTGAAGACTTTAAAAAAAGCAGAACTATGAGGTGTGAGAAACAGAGCAGACACTCATACTTAAAAATACGATCTTAAAATCTGTCAACGCATCATGGAAACAAGTTTCCATCCAAAAAATGTTAAAAAGGATAAAAAATACATGTCGATAGAAACTGTATGAAAGATTCTGAAAACAAACTGCTTAAGAAATAATATGAAAAAGAGGCGATCCAACTAAAGATCTTCCTGTTAGACATTAAAACAGATATACAATGATATACATTAAAACTGTGTTTATAGTGTTTCTGAGAAACACTATAACTAAAGAGAGAGAGTGAGAGAGAGAGAGAGAGAGAGAGAGAGAGAGAGAGAGAGAGAGAGAGACCTATAATACGAGTGTTGAGTGACAGCAGTGTGAAAATGGTCTTCTAGTATCATAACAACGAGCTACCGCCGCCCCTCACGCATGTGCAGAACGTACGGGGTGGTTGGCCGATGGCTGAAGTCTTTGCAGTGTGTTCTAGAGCAACTTTTTGCAGATGATGTCACTTGGAAAGGTTTTTTAAATGACAATGAGACCAATTACAGAGCTGAGGGAGATCACTTTTACAACTGCTGTTCTGATAACTCGTTGATTTTAAACACACGAGAAACTAAAAAAATGATTTCTGATTTTAGAAGAAATGTAACTCTGTGCATCTTACAAGATAACTTAAATACATTTAACAAACTTGGTTGTAATTAAAAATGTTCTTTTCAAAGACAAACTGTTTGCTTACAGACGAGGAAATCGTTGGACCTGAATGTAAATGCAGTTTAGTGGCTGTGTCTGAAGTGTTCTTGTCTTTGTTTCCTCTCTGTTCAATCTGTGGTCAGGTTAGTGTGAAAAGAAGAAAACTGAAGATCACGTGTGAGTCTGTTTTATCAGGACACTTAACTGTTAAGCAGAAAGAGAACGGAAACATCACACATACATCATACAAAACTTAATGCATCTGCAAACTCTGGTTCCCTTTTTCTGGAGATGTTATCTTGTTCTCTCATGAAGGAAATAAAGACTCTTACAGCTGGAAGTTACTGAATTCTGCAGCTTTAGTTATTCAGAACTTCTCTTACTGTAAAATACTCCAAAAATCTTCACTGTTTGTGAAAAATGATGCAGACGGATGTTGAATGTGTGAAAACGTTAAAAAACACATCGTAAGACTTAAAAACTTAGTGAGACAAAACAATCTAATTATAGAAAGAAACAGAAGCAAACATGTCTTTAACAGTTTGCATCATATCTAACACTCAATCTAAAAAACCTGAACATTAAAGAGTCTACTCTTTTATCATTTTAAAAGCAATTTAAGCCTTATCCAAATACGTTCAGTGATGAAAGTTTTAGTGAGGATATACAGTACCTGACACAGAGAGAAGGAAGATAACCAATCCACTCACTGCTGCTTTCAAACTCATAGCTGCTCCTCTCATCCCTGTGTGACTTCAGAGTAAATAAAACACATTAACAGAAGGTCTGTACATGTTTCAATAAATGGCATATCATTGAATAGTTCTACTTACAACAGGGAGGAGATGTCGTCTCTACAGCAAATGTTCCTCTGTGGTCATCAGGCGGCAGAAGTCAAGCTGTTGAAGTTATCTCTTCTTCCTTCTTCACATTATGAATATGCATGAAGTTACAGACTGGCGTCCAGTACTGATGTTATTTTAAAAAAGAATCTAAGGCACTAACGAGGTTGGCTTTCTAAGGATAAGAATATCAAGAATCTTTAATGTAACTCCATGTAAAGACACCATCAGACAGCAGTTCAGATAAAATGTGTGAGAATGCAGCCAATGAAACGTGTTCGATCAGCCGCTGCAGCAGAGGAGAAGTTACTTGGTGTGTGTGTGTGTGTGTGTGTGTGTGTGTGTGTGTGTGTGTGTGTGTGTGCAAACAGGCGGAGCTTGAGAGAAGAACCACCACTCTGACAAAAAGTTGTGTGTTGAATGTGCATTTACTCTGGTAGGATCTCAGAATCATTGGAATCGTCAAGAGGAAGATGAGAGACACCAGACCCATCGTGAAGGCCGCTATCAAAGCAACCTGGGCTTCCATAACACCTCAGCAATGCTACAGACCGATTGTCTTCATGTCATGCTGTTTGATACAGTAGTTCATGCAAAAGGAGCACCAAACAA